CCCCCACAAACCAAGTTTTACTTAATTGTTAATTAAAAAAAAGCCTTTCAAGTACTACTTCAATTGTTAAAAGTTGGTTGAGTCAGGATGAGGTACTAATAACTGTAACCGTAAATTCTCCATTCAAAGTTGTGACCGGAGTATATTTTGTATTGGAATTTCAAATTCGGAAGTACCAACAACAAATTAGTATTAAGTTTATAGATTGACGCAGGTACAAGTGGAGGTAGTGACTACTTGTAATGATTTTTTTTTTATTACTGTTATTTAAATTTTTTTTGTCTGTGGCTTGTAGTAGTACTATTTCTTTTAGAGAACATAGTGGCGACTTTTATGCTACTGTACGTACCTTAATTATTGTTACTAGATGTCTTGGTATCACCACCTTTGGTCCATGTTCATTTAATGCCGCCTCCCTCCCCTGAATTGATTGCAAACTCCGACGCTTTGGATCCATAAAAATCAATCATTTTCATCACCATTTTGCTCACAATCTTAATGTAGCGAAGAAACAAACATAATGCAATTTTTTTTTTTTTTTTGCTGAAAAAAATATTAAAAATCACCAATAAAAGCTATTCATGTCATAAGATACCATGAACATTTACACGAGAATTTTTTATTTTTTTTTTAATATGGTCTTTACTAATTTTAAAAAGAACATACTCCCTTTGTCCCACAAAATAATCTACATTAAATTTTGAATTGTATACTATTTTTAATACAAATTTAAAAATTCAATCTGAATTATTTTTGTGGGATGTAAGAAGTATAATAAAGTTAATAAGTAGGAGACTGAGAATTGATTATTGACTTTTAGAAAAAAGAAATAAATTTTTGAAATATCGGGTAAAATCCCCAATAACTATCTGTGTCCACATTCTTTTACATCAGTAATTATTAAGTGTTTACAATTAGATGTTTCTAAATGCATATTATTCGCAGATGACATAATTTTAATAGACTAAGCCTATTTTGTCATGTGTTGCACGACCAGTGTTTAGTCGAATTATATTTCATCATTTTTGTTTGAGAAAATATATTACGATCAATATTTAGTTAAAATTAACAACAAATAATTGATGAGAAAATAAAAAAATAGATTGTTATGTTGAACTATATATTAAGGAATTGAAGATAGCTCCACACTACTTTTATATGAAATGGAAGAGTATAGAGGATACATCAAGTAGATACATTTGAAATAACATATTAAAAAAAGGTTCCTGTGCTTTATCACTTAGAGTTTAAACTTATATCTTAATTCTAACTATAAACCAACATGAGTGTAATGCTTTCTATGGTAGTAGTATATTAAAGTCTTCAAAACCTTTTTCCGAAGATGTGTGGGATGCCACATAGCAGAAAATAGAGATGAAATGACAATTTTTTTTATTTAGAGAGTTAGAAATCGTGGACTTTTGCACTTGAACTGCCAAAGAAAGGGAACTACACTACTTTTCTGTATTAAGTTCAAATTTATTGTAAGAAATTGTGAAATTACAAAACTTTTTGTTTAGTTGTAACTCTACTCATTATTTGGCAATTAACATTTTTATCTTAATTGCATGATTTTCAGCTAGGACGGTCTCGATCGCGCAGCATGTGTCTCTTTAAGTTATTTGCTATTTATTTGTTTGAAACATTTGTTATACTTAAATTTATGTAAAACATTGAACATATCACATAATATTAACAAAAAAAGTGAAATAATTGATATAAAGTTTTTAATTAATTAGACGTGATCCAATGTGTATTAAGAGTATTACGTGGAGTTTTGCATCCCCATTTTTTGAACATCTCAGGAAACTCACAATTGATGCCCATGGAAACATTTACATTGTTGATGCTGAGAATATGAATATAGCAATCGGGAAGATTAGTGGCACAGTCAATCCACCCATTTCTTTTAAAAGCTTTATGGAAGATCTAAATATTCTGGGAAAGCATTGCATATACAAAGATTCTTGATAGTTTCTGATAAAAATGATGGTTTCTGTATATATATATAACCTGGTCTGGATATAATATTGGATAATTAGTGCTTTTTTGCTATCAAATTCTTTTTGTAATCATTAACTCTTTTCCGTCAAATGGAGATCATCTCTTTTGTGGACATTATTTTAGAAGTTTTCAACGGTACGTATTCCTTTTTGAAGGAATCACAACGATTTCAGGAGGCAAGAAGAGTCGAGGAGGTGTGCATGTACGTAAATGGGTCAAGCGAGAATGCAAAATTCTCATATGATTTTGATGTGATCTATATATGAAGTAGCTGCTCACTCCTTGTTATAGATAGAGAAAATCAGGCAATATTTGATATCCAACTTCATTTTGATGACTGAGCTTATCAGTATAGATTAGCATTCTGCCAACATTTCTTGCATAATCTTTCAGCTACCAGTTCATTGGTTGATAATCTCAAATTTGTTGCTGGCTTCTTTGGTTACATGCTAGCATTGATGCAATGTCGGGTTAATCTGATAGTATTTGCTCAATTTGTAAATTTAAATAATTTTTATGCATGTGTCCTAATCACCTTTCTTCAATACAACTCGTTACTTAGGGAAAGAGAATGTAAACACAAAGTATATCCTTTCTGATAGTTTTTTTTTCCCAACATTTTCTATGCGCGTGTAAAATAGTGCATTTCGCTTTGTTAACAAACCTGTGTTTCAAAGGATGAGAGTTTGCTAAAACCAACTTCTCAAAGTTCATAACTAAAGCCAGTGAAATCAGTGAGGCCTCCATTAATTCCTACCGAAGGTGATGAAAAGCAAGAAGAGAGTTTGTTTGGATCGTAGGAAGGCAAGTAGCACATACAGGAGCATCCCCAACCGCAACAAGAACAACAGTACCAGCAACATCACAAGTATTCAAGTACCTGGCCAGTACAACACCGTTGTCGGCCGGTAAACGTCAAGTTATAAACTTAAATGGGACGCTACAATCAATAAAGCTAAAATAGAATATATGTAATGTCATTTTAGTAAACACAAGACTAGTAATATACTAAATATGAAAATAGGTGAAAATAGAGTTTAAATATATATATATAGAGGATCTATTATAGATGAAAATGAAAGTATCGATAGAGATGTAACACATCGAAATCAAACCGGGTAGAATAAATGGCGTAGTGCTTCATAATAATTCGTGATCGTAAAATACCATTGAGTTTGAAAGGTAAGTTCTATAGAACCGTCATTCGACCGACGATATTTTATGAATCCGACTGTTGGGCTACTAAATATGAAAATGAGCAAAAAATATTGCGAGTAGCGGAGATGAGAATGTTAAGACGGATATGTGGGCATATTAGATTAGATAGAATTAAAAATGATTGTATTAGAAAGAAAGTAAAGAAATAAGAGATGTGTGTAGGAGACCGGTAAAGGTCCTAGTGAGGAGGATAGAAACTATAAAATCCAGAATTCAAATTAAAAGTAGTAGGGATAGACATGCGATATTTAAATTTGTCCGATGATTTATGCACGATGGTGACATGCGATCCATATAATAGACTTCACCTAGTTGGAAAAAGGTTTATTGTTGTTGTAGGAGAATCTATTATAGATAATAACGGAAATAATGATAAAGATGTATTACGTCGAATTCAAATAGGATAAAATAAATGATTGAGAAAGTTGTGATCATTTGTGAAGAGAAGGTATCATTTTGAAAGATAAGTTCTATCAAATTGCTATTCGACGAGCAATACTATACTGGTCAGAGTATTAGACTACAAAATATAACAACAAATAAAAACATGCAAGTAACATAAATAAGACATATAATGTTAAATATAAATAGAAATGAATGCATTATTAAAAAAAAAAAGTAGGGATACCGTAATAGATAATAATATGATTACGCTTAAAATGATTTGGACATGTACACAAGAGATTCGTAAATGTCCCGATTAGAAAAGGAAAAACTATGGAATCAAAAAGATTAGGAGGATTAGACAAACTTAAAATATTTTTCAAAAAAAAAAAAAATTGGAAAGGAATTATTGAAAATGGCTTCAGGTATTTAAATTTGAAAGATGAATTTTGCGTTGATCGAACAAAATACGATGTATGATTCGTGGAAAAATAATGTGTTCCAAATAATCATTTTGTTTATTCTACTTCCTCCATCCCAATTTAATAGGTTTGCTTTGCAGGATGTCCTTCTGTCCCAATTTTTTAGGATGTCTCATATTTCCATATTTAAGATTTATTTAAAAAATATATATATTTAAGATTATTTTGCAAATGAAATTTTAAATATACCCTTAACTCAATTAACCACATGGGAATGATGGGAGAGCATTTATCTTTCCAATGAATTGGTTTAACAATTTTTCAAACAAATTAAAATCTTGATTCATCAAATTAATTTATTAATGTCTTCATAAGAGTAATTTAAAAAAATTAAGAGTATTTTAAGAAAATTAAGGTAAAAGTTATTAGTTGATTTAGTATTATTAATCTGTGTAAAAATTAATATAATCTATTTGGAACAGAGGAAGTATAATTGATTAATTTCAAGTCAATAAGTATGACTCTTATTTTGACGATGTTACAATACACTTTATTTTTATTAAAATAAACACATTTGTGACGACACTAAGCTGTTGTCATCACAAGGTGTCCCTCACTCCCTTGTTGAGTTTTCCACACTATTTTTGCCCTGCTTCATGAGCTTGAGGTTGAACCATGCAGATTTTGATGGTTTTTTGTGAACTCCAACCCTCTATATTTGTTTGTTTTTTATTTTCTATTTTTCCCCTTCCTTTCCTCTGTTCATAGGGAAATATACATTTTAATTCCCTCTATTCCAAAATAAATGATATCCAGTTCAAACTGGAAAATTCAAATTGGAAAATAAAAATTTAAACTAAAATTTTGAGAGAATTTAAAACTCAGGAAAATGGACCTATATTATATATACCAAAAATAACTCCCTAAGTTAACTTAATGGTTTCCAGGATATATACAAATCCTTTACATATTTCAGGTGCTTGATGCATGGTGCGTACTAGCAAAATTTGTAATCTGGGCAGTTATCACACTGAAGAAAGAATCAGCAAAATGATTCCTGATAAAAAGAGAAAACCATAATCTTCTTCTACAACATTTACTTCGGAAAGAGTGTCATAAGAAGAGTAAAACGTAATATACTCTCACCAGGCCCGCTGAAGACATTGTAAGTCAGCACTTCCACATATTTCACTACCCTCCAGATCAGGAACCTGCATAGATGATGTGTCAAGTAATTCTGCAGAAACCAAAGCCGAAGCATTCTAACATGAATTTTCTACCAATTCTCAGTATTCAAGTGTTGCATGCTTGGAGCAGAATGAATACTCATTCCTAGTTCCGGAATGGTGCTATCTAGTGGCAACGGAGATTATAATATAGTGGCACTACATAATCAACGAAAACAGAGTGACAAGCTCTTTACCTCTTCTCTGTTTTGGTGGTCTGATAGCTCGATTTTCATCACTAATATCACCAGCAGGGGATCGAGGCCTGGCGGCAGGCAAAGATTTGATTGAAGATTCACGCTTCTTTGAAGATATAAGTGCGGATGAAAGAAGTGCATCAACAGCATCACGTTGATGCTTTCTCTTTGCAATCTTATCTTTAAGATGTCCAGCAGGACCTGAACTTTCTTCCAGATCCTTTCCACCTGTCATTTTCAGGACTCTTCCAGAAGATGTTAAAACAGGGGCTGTAACAGGTTTCCTTTTCTCCTGCTTCAACTGTTCTAAACATCTTCCGCTCGAAGCAGAATCCAAAAATTGACGATTTGCACCCTTCAATTTCTCAAAAAGCACAGGATCATTGCTCGACTTACCCTTCAGTTTTTCAGTAATCATATCAGTCATTTCACGAGTTCTGCGGCGAGTATTTCCATGATTACTGATTAGACTTCCTCTGACTGGCGACTTCTGTTGCCCAGACCTCTGATTCCCACCATTTTGAAACACCACAGATTCAACTGGGAGCGCAGGTTCAATGTCATTTACTCCTCTTTTCCTACATTTAGCAGCATTTTCTGCATCCTCGTCAACAGGTTTCTCACCAGTTGCGACTACAATCTTCTTTTTCAAAATGGCATTTACCCTCCCGACTTCAGCATGCTTACCAGTTATTTGCACCTTTTCAACAAGCTTTGACTTCCTCAATTCTTTCACAGGGAATTCGACAGCAGGTACTTCGTTAGAAACGGACTTAAAAAAGAATTTGTATGGCTTTGTCATTTCTCTGACCAAATTTCTGTCTTTAGCATCTCTAAGGAGGGAAGCCCAGTTCTCATTTGTCTGCAAGGTCCTTGCATTACCAAAAACCCACAACGAGATCTTGGCCCTCGTTAGAGCAACATTCATACGACGAACATCAGCAACAAATCCAATATTGCTGGTCCTTGGCATGGTTTTTCTTTCAGAACAAGGTTCTGCGGCTCGAACAGTAGAGAGTATTAATATGTCAACTTCTCGACCTTGGAATCCATCAACAGTATTAAATTCGATGTCAACCAAGATAGAAGAACCAAATGCAGCGGAGAACCGGGAACGCAGAACTGAAAGTTGAGATCTGTAAGGAGTTATGACACCGATTCTTCCACCCACAAATTCCAATGGGTACCTTTAGTCAAGAACCGTTTGCATTTAGAGAGAGTTTTTCAACAAATTTTACATCAAGGGGTGAAGAGAAAAACATACCTCTTTTTGAAGAATCTAATTACTTCAACTGCTGCATCAGCCTCACATTCATTGCATAGGGATTGCGATCCAGAGTTCTTACTGAGGTTCTCTTTTCCATCGGTGACATCAAAGAACAGGTAAGGTCCTAGATCCTCATTCTCATGGAAGGCTGCAGCTTTACTGGATGTCAGATCACCATTTCTCAATTTCCCATCATAGAAATGCAAAGAAGGGAAGCGGCAGATCTCTGGATGCATCCTATACTGACATGTTTTAAAAAAAAAAAACATAAATAAATAAAAGAACTTAAACTCTCACAATGAAAAATTCAAAGAGCTGTTTACCCAAAAACAAATAAAATAAATAAAAAGAGCTAAGAGAAAACAATCACACGGAAGCCTTCTCAGTTTCCAGTTTTTGTGTCGTTTTTGAATTTTGTTTCTATCAATAGCATCACAACAGATACAGTTACCCTATAATTAGCCATTACAAGATGAACAAAACCTTCAAATGTAAAATACCTGGTGGGTAAGCATAAAGACAGGATGACCAGCACGCTGCAGGCGTTCAAACATGCTGCATTGGAATAAATATTTGGTGGCAATATTGGATATTACCGTTGCCGGAAGCTGTTTTGGATCCCCGACCTTCGAAAAATACACTAATAACTCAATACAGTTTCTAATAAGTGGCACATTAAAGAGAAACAGACTATCAATTAGTGTACCATAATACATCTGGTTCCCTTTGACTTTAAGAGCTGAAGAGGAATCAATGTAGCAGGTTCAAGGGCCTGTAGTGAAATCAAAAGTTAGAGAAACGAATATCTAGAACACAACTGCAAATAAAAAACAAACAAGAGAGAAAGAGAAAAATACTTGTGCAGCTTCATCTACAAGAACAGCATCAAACAACGCGCTTTCAGATGAGCCGCTAAACTTATGGCTTGATACTGATTCAGCACAAACACCATAAAGATCTCCACCACACCCACTGAGTGTAGTCACAACAATTTCAGCTTCTTTCAGTATAGTCCTCCTAAGCTTTTGTTTAAAAGCATTGTGTTCATCGTTCGCCTTTCTCTCCCGGTCTTGTGCATGAGAAAGATCTTTATAAGTCACCTTTTTCTTTTCATATAAAACTCTCAGCTTTGCTGCTATTTCTGCATCGGTTGACTCCTTGATCTCCTCACCTTGAGAATTTTCCAAGTCCCCATCCCTTAAGTTTGCTCGCCTAGCTTCATATAACCTGATGCGATCAACTATGCTCTCCAAATTAGAACGAAGAGTTGAAACAGAGTTCAAAACTGTCTCATCCATTCCAACCTTTACCCTCTCCTCAGCCAAATGGTGATCAACTAACGTGTCAATAAAGAACGGTAGCGAATTTGGATGAACAGTCTTTGCGTTTCCCACTCTGACAAGATATGGTTTATAGATCATCCCATTGCAGTCATAAAGGCCCTCAGTTGATATTCTTGAAACCAATTCATCAACTGCAGCATTTGAGTGAGCACAGATAAGAATCCGCCCTCTGACACTGCTGCCAGTGGATTTTAAGTTCCTTCTTTCATCTTCATTAATTTGCTTGGCCAACGCTGCATCTTGCCATGCCCTTGCAATTGCAGTAGCTTGATTGATCTGTAACCTGGGACAAGTACTAGACACAGCACTAGAATATGGATCACAACTTGCTTTCCTCTTTTCATTCCTCATCTGGAGTAAAGCAAGCAAACCACTGACAATGGCCAAGATTGTTCGAGTCTTACCAGTCCCTGAAAGTAACAGGTAGCAGAAAACATTGGGTAAGACTGTCGACCAATAGTGCATAGAAAAATAAAACACTTCAAAACTGTAAAATACTTAAGGGCACAAATAAACATTAGATTGCAACCAAAATGCACAAGAGGAATACAACATACCCGGAGGACCCTGGATAAGGGTCAGGTCGAAATCCTGTTCCAAGTTGAAGGATCCAGTAGCCGCAGAAATAGCTTGCAGTTGACTGGCATTATATGAGGACTTGAGAACCTGCTGCAAAGCTCGAGGTGTTTTGTTAAGATTTTCCCTCCTCGAATTATGAACACGACCAGGGCAACTCGAGGGATCTAAGATGACAGGAACCAGAGGAATTTCCCTCAACGACGACAATGCCTGGAATTCTCGAAGCTGAGGTGTAATGCTCATAAGGCGACTAATGCACCATTTGCTTCGCTCAACAAGAGACTTCCGAGCTCTATTGAAACGAGCGCATCCATGTTTTAGATACAGTCTAATATTTACAATGTTTAACATCCTTTTAGTATCTGTTTCACGTCTCTCAACCTAAAAAAAGACAAGGTAAAAGCAGTTAGCTATAAAAAAATGTTCAAAAAAATGTAAATGAATAGTGTGAAAAACCTTGCATTTCAATAGCGTCAGCCAAAATTACTATAACTAATCCAGCACAAATAACATCTAGCAACCTTAAGTTCTATGTTTGTTAACAATTTTCTGGGGACATTTCATTGCATATAGATTCAATCAGCAATTCGCCTTTAAAGTTTACTGAATCTACCAGCATGATCACGGTAAGTGAAACTATATCCAACACGGGAATCGAATGTTGCCCCAGCGGTTGTGGTGGATAGGGGCCTCCTGGATGACCCAGGATCGAATCCCATGGGGTGGGAAATTGGTAGGGAGTTTTAGGGGGTTGAGGGGGTAGTTATTAGGAGGTAGATTACGTAGTCCAAAAAAAAACTATATCCAACACTTATTCAGCAAGTATCAATCACAAAACCACTGGTACGGACAAGGGGAATCCGACTGTTTAATTAAAACAAAGCATTGCGATGGTTAAAAAAAAAATTCAATCACAAAACCAAACAAGCAAAAAACATTTTAAGAAGGCATATTACCTTCCCAACCATGTGAACATCATGGTTCAACTGTGATAGTGGTTTCTTGGTAAGCAAGATGAGATCATTCTCCATGAGGATCCTATATCCAGCGGGATCAGTGTCTTCATGGGCACAGCGAACAATATGAAAATCATCAATTCGTTCAACGGAAAGTATGGATAAGCCTCCATAATCCATAATGTCCATTGATGTCATCTCCTGTAGAGAATTGCGAAGCTGTGCTTTAAATTCTTCTAATACTAAAGGCTGGAACACTTCAACATATTCCTCGGGTGATTTGAAAGACACAGGGACCTCCTTTAATTTGCAAGCCGTTCTTTCACTGTCTTTGTATGATGAAGCTAGACCTACTGTTACAAAGTAATCTAATTCTAGAATGGGTTTATACCAATCATCAAGCCTAGGACCTTTGAATCTTCTTAATTCAGAATTTGTCCTCCAAGATCTGTTTTCATTAGGGATGTTAAGCTGAATGACTTGTCGCTTGACACCGGGATGACAAGGCTTAGCAAACAATGACTTATGAGGCCTTGCTGACTTAAAGAACGAAAATTCCCATGAATCATCTTCTCTTTCAAGTGGAACCTCATTGTGGACCACTTTACTATGTCCAGAAACTTTGCAAACATTCTCCGGGTGCTCACTTTTATGGTTACTAGCAGTATCAAACGATGTCTTCATTTCCAGCGGACGTTGACCTACAGAACCAGCAACAATCTCAGAAACAGAAGAGCCATCAGCGGTATCTAATTCAGAATCCTGCTCCGGAGAAGACTTATTTCTGCTGTATTTGGAATCATGTCTGTCTTTTCTGCCTCCCCTCCTCAAAATGCCATCAATTTTGTCGGACCCTGGCTGTTCTGTTGTAGGAACACAAAACCCATGAGAACTTTCTTCACAAAGCGTCTTTGATGATTTTGCATATGTAGCAGTATCGTTTTCTTTATCAGAACTCAAACCTTTTCTGGTGGAATCAGGAGAAAGACCTTGATCGTCACAACTAAGGCCACTGCTGCCAAGCCGAGACGGAAGTTCCTCAGAGGCTGACACGGCCTGCTCATCTTCATCATCATCCGGAAGAATTATAACATTGTTCTTGTTTGTACATAATGATTTCTCCTTGTTTTTAGCATCTGATTTCTCCAAATCTATGACATGCATTTCTGAAACCTTTGAGGAAAAAGGTACCACATCTTCAACAAAAAAAATTTTACCCTCCAGCATCTTCTTAGAAAATGATGATACAGGCCTGGAGTTCTGCACAAAAGAGCCTTCATCCTTCAATGAAACACAAAGATGTGCAACTTGATCACACATTCTCTCCACTGCAGCATTGTCTACAAGAGAGAGGGAGGAGGTCAATTAATATTGCTAGCAACAGAAAGACTTACATAAAATCAAACAGAGGTATGCTTGTTGACTGCGCATAATGGCGTCATATAATCCACATAGTGGAAAGAAGGCTTGCAGTTAGTTGGTGTTGTAGTGACAAAGGGCAGGAAGGGAGTGAAACGCAACACCCACCAGGCGATATAAGTTCCTCCAGAGCACTGATTGCTGGAGCTGATAAATCACTAAAGGACTTCTTAAGCAGACCTAAAATTGAAGCCAGAGTCTGCTTCCAGTATCGAGCCACTACAGCGAGGGATGACCTACCCCAGTTCATCAAATCCTGGAGCCACGTCATGTCATTGACTATTTTCATCATGCTGGCTGGATTCTCACAGAGCTTCTCAAATATTAGAGGAAGAATCTCAAGCACGCGAATAAGCGTCATCTGCACCACAGATAATAAATTAATTAACTGAATCAAAGGGGTAAAATAGATAACAATAATAAACAAAGAAAAAGAAAGGTAACATTACTAGAACCAAGAAACCAGGTTGCAGTTCCTTGAACCAAATATCGCACAAAGATAGCAAGCAACAAAAAACTCAACCACTAGTTCTACGAAAACAAGTTAATGGCCGAGTCCAGAGATCCTACATCTAATGACTATGAAATTGTCTTGTATGCATCATTGATGCCTCCAGCACACAATATTTATACTGCCCTGAGAAAGCTCACAAAATGTTATTCCCTGCAATGATTCTATAGTGAAGCTCTGTTCTAAGTCACATTTTATACAGCAGAAGCAATAGGATCACTTCGATGCAGTACCAAATGAGTCATTGGGTTAAACTTAAACAAGTACAGGTACACACAAGCCCAAGGGTCAGCTAATATGGGCTCAACACATTCCTTAATACATGCTCAGGCAATTATGCAATCACAAATCTAATGTAAGCTTCGAGCAGGAAAGGATCAGTTGCTCTTGCAATTAAATGCATTAACATAAAAGGGGATGCACCAATCATGCTTTCAAAACTAGATTCTTATGAAATTAAGAATATTTCTTTACCTGACATGTTTTGTTGTCTCTAAATGCTATTCCTTCGGCCAAGCACTTCTGCAAGGAAGGCCAAGCCCTCTCTGATATCAAACCACTGAAATGCTCCCATAATTTGGAGCTGAAAAGAGGTGTACATGAGTCATGTAAAGTCAGATCAAAATCCAGTTGCCTTAGAAATCCACCTTGGGAAGAAAAGGAGCCTGGAGAACTTCCAGCTGTTGGTTGAGCAGAAACATTGCCTTCTTTGATTAATTTCCATAGTACAAAGAAGAAATGATGTAATTTCTCAAATTTTAACAGTACAGAGTCCAAGACAACCTGGTAAACATCAAACCATAGTTGGATTAATACTTAAATTATTTCAATGAAATGGCAATTAATGGTATAGAAAAAGAACAAGCTGGAAGATACAATTCAGGGCAGAGGAACATGGGGAAAATTCTTACAACTGGGACAGTGAATTTGGATTGACAATTGTAAAGTAAAATCGTCTATTATAGAAGCCAATTAACACATTTGACCTATATAATCAATAAAAGACAAATTTAAAGAAAATGTGTCGAACCAAAACCACCAATTTCCTTTAATGTGGCAATAGCATCCACCACTCGGAAAGAAAAAAAGTATAAAACATTTCTGACAAACATAAGTCATTCAAGTGTTTGACCTTACCAGTTCCAGAGCATGGCTCAAGCCCAGAAAGACAGCTTGCAACGAAGATTGGCTTGAACAAAGAAACTGCAGACCACAACTAAGCCCTTTTTCTCCAGAAAATTGCTCGAGGATATGCCTAGTGACTTTTCTATCATCCTGAAGACAAACACCAAAAGACATTCATAGTTTTTAAATTAATAAAACGGGCGAAGAAACGGGCAAAAGCAAAGTGAAATTAACGTGCATTTAAAATACAAATCAATTGATAAAATGTAAAGTTAGTACATCATTGGGATCAAGTAGTAAAAGTATCAAACTTTCAGCCATCATGGGATCCCAGGTCCACTGCTTCCTCAATTCACCTTGCTCCATACAGACAATAAAATGAGAAGCCAACCTGCAACATGTACATAATCAATATCAAGGTATCATAACCAACCAAAAACGAGACAACAATAAGGAAAAGAAGCAGCATACTTCCTAAATGTCCTTATAAGAGGCATATGCAGCTTGGAGGCACTAACTGAATTTTTGGACTCTTTTCCGTTGCCAGCGTCATCAGAACCAGATGGTACCTTCCATCCGATAACATGAAGAATTTCGGAAGCACAAGTAGCCATCAAATCCTCAGTTGAATTGACCATCTCGACGCTATTTTCTGCCTCAACCATAGAAAAACGAGATAGACCCCAGAAAACAGCTTTTGAAAATGATACTGGTAAGATTAAAGGATCAATCCCAACTAAGACGTCAAACCATAACATTGGGATGCACAACCAATCCCCATATCTCAATGATGTAATTTTGCTCTGGGAACGAAATTCATTCCAACAACTTGTGGTCTTCTCTGTAATAGCATCACTTAAACAAATTTCTTCATCATCATTATTATCATCAGTACATAGTGTATGAATGACTCCTTCGTTATGCAGACCCAAACGATCATGTAAAATAGCTCCAACCAACACGGAGGCATCAGAAACAATAACAGTCTGAATAAGATCAAATGCTGGTTGTCTGAGTGAGATGTGGAGTGATGAATCCCTTAAAGAAGAGATCAGAGAAGGACCCCTGAACAACAAAAAGTGAGGACCTATAATCTATTGCATATTTTTTAGCCCGACACAAAATGTTGAAAGATTGATTGAGACTTGCAGCACGTACCACATGTGTGCACACTCATAAGGTGGACAAGTTGGATTCATCTTGTAACCTCGGTGAACAATGAGAAGAGAAATCTGCAAGTATGATCTCCACTAAATAATAATGTTCACAGGAAGCTGACAGAAAGAAGTTTGCAACTACAACAGGAGAAAAACTCAAACAAACCTGACAAGCTTTCTTTCGCATCAGTAGGCTAAAATTACTGCTTACAGTCACTTGATGGAGAAGAAAGTAAATAATTTGCCTTCGTTGTTCTTCGAAATCTCCATCTTGCAAAGCTTCAAGAGACTGGATAGAAGAAAAATTACTACTAAATGAAAGTTGATCGAGAGAAAATAGGAAATGGAATCTCATAACCTACAAACAACAATGCAAGTCATACCTGCAAGAAAGGCTCAAAAAGATCAAAAATCTCTTTATGGCTTTTTTCATCTCGAGTATGAAAACACTGACCGAGCAATGTGTTACGCATAACACTCGGAGACAATGATGACCTCAACCAAAGCTTACAACCTTAAACAACAATTGTCAGAGCCATCAGGAAGATACTATCAACTTTAAGAAAGCAATGCTTCAGGAAAACACTTACCGAGCATTTCAAAGAGTAGTCTTAGGCACTTAACAGCATAGGAAAATTCCAAAGAATCATCAGTAATATGATTAAGTACAATACTCAGGAAAACGGGGTACCGATCCAATATCCCTTCCTCAAATGCAGGGGGTTCAAGGAACCCTAGCCTTCAGAATACATTAAAAAACAATCAGCAGAAAAAATGACTGATAAAGAAAAGAAAGTCAAAATCGAAATTAAACTATTGCTTCCTACAGTGCTTTGATGCCAAGCCATACAGTTATTCTCTCTAGTTGCACCCTAGGTCTGGCAGTGGCAGCTGGTGACGGCACTATTTCTGTCTCAAGAAAAGCAATGTATTTCTTCAGCAAAGGCTGCAAGGGATCCAGGTCTTCTGATCTCCTGTAAAAATGGACAATGACCAAAACGCATGTAACAAAAAGTTTTGCAGACTTTTGTCATCACTGAATCAAAGCTGTGTGCCTTGAATATCGAAAAATGGTAGTGCATTTTCTCAAAAGATACAAACCAGGTTATGTTTGATTTATATCCTTGAAAATCGAAACATCTTTTTTCTTGACAATTAAACAAGAACAAATATATGAAATTACCTTAATTTACCCATCTGTCCAGCCAGCCGATATCCAATCGAACGAGCTCTTCTGCTTTTAAGGAAAAGTAATGCATAAACTCCCTAAGCATAAAAAGGATGGGAAGAATAAGACAACCTAAAGCTCCAAACAAATGAAATATAACAGTTGAGATTAGTGATTGGGAGCTGTACCGGATATTGTTGTTGTCCCACCAAAGTCAGCTCGTGACAGTTATCAATTGCGTCTATGAATATTTCGAATTCATCAGCCAATAATTGATCATCTAACAAACAGGGAAACATCAAAACCTGCAACTCAGTGAAATATGGCATTAAAACAGTGTTTGGATGCAAATGAATCTAGGAACTAATCCACATAGCCGCATTATACTGAATACCATAAGTAAATAAACCAGCATTTTGAAGATGGGCTCAAGGAAGACAAAGAAAAAGAAAAAACTCTGAGGGTCACAAAGTTAACAAATAAAATACAGGATTTTTCAGGAATAGCAGACCTCAAACATGATGCTAACGACTTTAGCATTATCCGATGATGGATCATAGCCTCCCCGAGACAATTTTGCATTAATCTCTTTAAGATTATCACATATCCTTTCTTCATCAAGGGTACGTAGCACTTGAAGAAGAGGCCCAATGGAAGCAGATTCGTAGTCAGTTGCATAGGTTTGCTGAGTTTGATGGTGCTGACAGATGCACTGGGTGCAGAATTGCATTTCCTCATGAAGTCTGCTCCATAAAATCTTGAGAGGGGAATCGCAAGGATCATCTTTCGAATAATTATAGAAAGTCTCCAAAAGAGGTCCCATCACGTCACGTTGGCCACACCAGATATGTTGGTCATTTGGCAACTCAATCAAGAAGTTGAATGCATCAGAAAACCTGGATTAAAAAGAAGAAGGGGAAAAAAAAGAACAATGAGCTCTTAATTTCTGATTGTTCTGTCCTTTAAAAAAAAAAAAACGCAACGAATAAGAAAGAAAAAGGTCCCAGATGGTCAATCCTTATACTGCAAACATATACATACTCAAGAGGATCTAGAGCCTCCTCCCAAATTGAGTGAAACCCTAAGGAAACAAATATTCTGAAATGGAAAACTGTTTTGAGCATAAATTTTTGAAGAAATGAAATAAGCAAACCATGTTTCTTTGAGCTGACGGAGACGGCGACGCTTGTGATCATTGCCGCAGCCACCATCATCGTCGCTGTCTTCAGCTTCGATGCTTCTCCATCGGTCTAATAAGTCTCTCCTTGTAACAACATTCTTCCCCATCTTCTCCAGATTCCGTTCGGTGATTGCTATTTAGCAAAGCTGTCAGCCGGATGGGGTGATAACTTCTGGCCACGATCACCAGATTTCCTCCACTGCCATGAAATTTAAAACCCTAAAGCTGTTTTAGGAGGGAACGTTTAGAACAATTGGCAGAATTCCCGCGAAACTGGAGCGGCGGGAATCGGGCATCGGGGTATCAGTAAGTGGGGCCGACACGGTAACGTAAAACGTATCTGGACTGGGCTGAAGGAGCAAATGTTTGAATGGGCTATAGAGATACTGCGCCGTCTAACCCCAATCGTTGGTGGGTCCATAACGACACCATTTCTTCTGCGTAATAGTAAATGTAGCCCAAATTATTATCATTTTGTCCTTATTTCAACGACTTCAGAAGTTTAAAATTAACTTTCAAATGGTTCGTTAAAACCTTTTAAAAATTTCATGCATTAAGATGGCTTTTCTTTTACGGTCGGGAATGGGCTGCACGCATGAGATCGCGTTTTTCAGGGTCGAGTGCGCTGGTTTAGGGTTTAGGGTGGTGGGGCGCACCTAGTTTGGGTCTTCCCCAAGCGGTCTGCGTAATCTATGAAGTATGTTCGGTTGGGGCGTGAGCCATATACCCAGTTTAAAAATATATTCTTACACGGGAAGTTTAAAGGCTGCAAGAAAATAAATATACATCCTCATTGACGAAGAGTTAACTTTAAATTTTACTCTTATATTTTAAATTTTAAATTCAAATTTTAAAATTTTAAACTTTATTAAATTATAATAAAACATACTACTTTAATTAATAAAAAAAATTATTTTACCAATAACTAACTTAATTTCCCCAGAATTTATTTAATAATGCCCAAGAAAAATATTAAACAATTAAAAGAATTTGTTAAGAAAAAAAATTAAAAAATTATTCCCAATGGACGCCACCCCTGGCGGCTTTCTCTTGATGGGCCTCTATCATTGCCGGCCAAATGTAATAAGGACGGTGATAATTTTATTTTATTAATTTCCAAGATTTAAAGTAGTTATTTAATTAAATAATTAAATAAATACACTAATCCAACTATATTTTATTTCACTACTTCAATTATTCAACAATATTTTATTCACTAATAAAGCATATAATCTTTTACTAAATAATATTCAAATTATTAACAAAATTAATCAAACTAAATAATAAAGTAATTCAATTAATTACTAAATAATATTCAAATTATTATCAAAATTAATCAAACTATATTTTTTAACTTAATCATATACATCAAAACTAATTTACCTAATATAACCAACTTAATTTCATAATAACCAATTAAAAGTATTAAAAGAAAAAAATTAAAACATAATAAAAACACTAAACATAATAATTACTATATAAAAAAAAAAGGGCGGCCGACCATAGCCGCCGGTGCTGTCGGCCGCCAAATTCCCCGACAGCATCTGTGCCGTTTGGAATGATATCAGACGGTACGCATGCCGTCTGATTGTTAGTGGAACGGCACGTCCCTCGTCCTATCTGCCGGGCGTCCAAACCAGACGGCGTTCCTGCCATCTGATTCTAATTCATACGGTGTTGGCGGACGGTGCCTCCCTCTTCCCGTCCCATTTGAAACAGCACGCCGGGTGGTCGGCGAAATCCCAGACGGCATCACCGTCGGCCGACCAGTTTTCAGGAATTAAAAAAAAAAGGAAAAAAAAATCTATTATTATTTGTTAAATTAGTGAATAAATTTTGGTGAAATTAAGTTAGTTATTATCAAAATGATCTTTTTTATTAATTAAGGTAGTATCTTTTATAATTGTTTAGTAAGATTAGTGAAATAGTAATTAAATATTTTCTAAATTTCAAATTCAAATTTTAAATCACTTATTTTAGAATGAAAAAATGAAAAGGGCATAATTGTTAGTTTTACGACAGTCTTTATCTTTTTTCTAGCGGCCTTTAACAAGCCTCTTTTTACATTCATATTCGTTAATTATTAAAAAATATTTTTAAGATTTTTTTAATTAAAAATCCATATCGAGTGAAACATATAATATATGATAAATTAAAATGTGTTATATTAACGATTGGAGGGAGTAAGTAGAAACTTGCACCATCTATACAATATCTTAAATCACAAATTTACATTTAGTTTTAAGATAATTTTATATTGTAGTTCTTATCCATCGCTACCAGCATACAATCAATGACAAACTCTTACTTTAATTACCTATAATTCAGCCGATATCGATTCGCTGTCTGAAGATGATGGTAAAAGGAGTTATTATTAAGAAATAATATAAAAGATTGGAAAAGAAATTAAGACTTTGACGTGATATTGAAGAATTATAGTTGAAATTCTTCTGAAACTTCACTGCCAAGGTTCGATGCCAACACCTCTCTGTGGAGTACTAGAGTACGCCAACTGCATTTTGTAGGTGATCATGGCTTACATAGAAGACAAAACCAGCTTTGATCTTATCTTATCTTGAGCTATTTCCTAGAAGATTCCTAACAAGTCCTTAATATGTAATTTAGAAAGTTCTTTTTCAGCAAGCACCTAATGTACATATATATCCTTATTGCAAGGTTTTTGTTTTGATGATGAAAATGAATTAAAAGTTATTTTATTGTCTTTTGATCTATATTACAAAATCTTTATGGTATCAGAGCAAGTTTAGGCCTGCTCTGGTTTCCGCTGCAACAAACATATATTGTACTCCATAAAATTCGATCTTTTAGTCAGGCATATAAATCATTTGTTGTAAACTATCATGGAGGAGGTGATTCAAAGAAGACCAGTGATGGATGAAGCTACATGCAAGGAGTTAGATGAGTTGATTAAGGAACAACTAAACATCCATGGCTCTGAAAATCCAGGTACTCCATTAGTTGCAGTTCCTCTGAACGAGAAAAATTATCTTGTCTGGAAAAATGCCATGATTCCAGCCTTAGAGGCAAAAATGAGACTTGGATTTGTTACTGGTTCTTTTTGGAAACCACCTGAAGGTTCTTTGAAGTGTATTAAGTGGAATGGGGCTAATAGTATGGTATGTTCTTGGATTAAAAGTTCTATGGTACCTGAGATTGCAAGTATGTTTATGTTTGTTCATGATGCAAGCACTTGGTGGAGACAATTGGAGCGAAGATATGGAACTACTACTGCTCCTCAATTGTTTGAATTGAAACGACAGATAGCTTTGATCAAAAAGGGCAATATGTCTATTTCACAGTATTATGGAAAGTTTAAACAGTTATGGGATCAATTTGAGCAGTTAAGGCCCACTCCTCTGGTTGATGGGGAGGTTGGAGCATTGCTTGCAATTAGAGCTATTGAGGATAAAACAATGGAATTGTTGATGGGCTTAAATGAAATCTATGAACAAGAGAATAATGATTTTTATTCATGGAACCAATGCCTTTTGAAGAAAGGGTGTATAACTTGTTACTTAAGGCTGAAACACATAGACATTTAAGTACAAATATGTCAATTGAATCAAATGACAACATTGCAATAATGGTAAAGGTGCCAGATTGGAAGAGGATTTCTATAAACACTGGAAATGCACAGGCAAAGGACGACAACAATTCTTTGTTCTATGAAATTGTAAGAGCAGTGGACATCTAAAAAGTGACTGTCAGAAGTTAAAGATCACTCACTCCACCTAAAAAGGCCAACAAGAAGTGCACATACTGTTTGAGACCAGGTCATTTGAAAGAAGAGTGTTTTAAATTGAAAGGTTTCCCTAATTGGTGGCCTTCCAAGAAGTCACAGGATTCAGGAAGTAAGTTTGGTTCAACACATGTGGTAGATGCATTGAATTTCACTCCAACAAATGTCATGAGTTCACCCTTGGATCATCCTGCCAGCAGCTCAGATCAACTTCAGTCCATGATTTCAGCAATGCAGTTTGAATTGGACAGAATCAAGAAAGGAGAAGGAGTAGCTGAACCTGTGGAAAATCACAAAGTGAACATGGCACGCTTTCATGACATCTCAAGTAGTGTAACTCATTCTAAGATTATTGGTTTTGATTTTGATTGTATAAGTCCAAAGGCTTGGGTGACAGACACAGTAACAACAAGACATATGTGCACTAGTCTTTCTTTAATGCATAACATCATAGCATCTTGCAATACCACCCCTATATTACTCCGTGATGGTAGCATTAAACATGTCACTCCTTTTGGAGATGTTACCATTTCAGAATCACTTACTCTGGGTTCTTGTATGCATGTTCCTAGTTTTAAGTATAATTTGCTATCAGTGAGAAGACTTGCAAAAACCTCAAACTATTTTTTGAAATTCTTTGCCGATTTTTGTTTACTGCAGGACCTTATTACAGGAAGGGTCCTGGCAACAGGTAGTGTGGTCAAAGAGTTATACATATTGGATGAAACCTCATTTACCTCTCAAGTTATCCAACAATCACAGGAACTCTACTCATCTTACATGCTTCATGTTCAATCTCAACACCACCTTTCCAAGTTTCAAAGTTTCCTCACAGTGCATGTACCACTGTTGTTTCTCCAAATCTATTGTATTCCAGATTAGGACATCCATCATTTCATGTAATGCAGAAATTAGTTGATTATGATGGAGACCTTTGTAGTCCTTTACTAGTAAAGTCAGTTTAGAACAATGTAGTATCTGTCCATTGTTTAAACAAAGTTGATTACCTTTTTCTACTGGATCTATTCAATCTAAACAAATATTTTGAGTTATTACATCTTGATGTTTGGGGACCATACAAAATTAAATCTCTTACAAACTGCCAATATTTCTTGACCATAGTAGTCGACTTCAGTCGTAGTACATGGACTCTTCTATTCCAACATAAAAGTCAAGTCACCTCACTGATTTCTCAATTTCTGAAAATGATTGCTATTCAGTTTGAAGCCAAAGTTAAGAAGGTTCGAACTGACAATGGCACAAAGTTTCTCAACCAAAACTATGTTCAACTTTTCTTTGATCATGGTATTGTACACCAAAAAATCATATGTCTGCACATCATAGTAA